GAGTAGGTATTTTTTAAGGTGTCTAAAATTAGGAACTTGAAAATGTGTTCCCACTGTCTCCTTGTGTTTATCTCCAGGTTTTTTGACTGTAAGGAAAAGGATTCTTCTTTCTGTCATAACACTTCTAATGGTTAGAAGGGGTTATTTTACAATTTAAGGTTGCTATGCTGAAGTAAACATCTTCATAAGATTGGGAAATTGTGTGGTCAGTCAATTGTGTGGTATTTTAAGTAGTAGACTTTTTCCCAGAAGTGATTTGGAAATTTGAATCTAAGTGAATTTCTACAGTGTTTGTAATTCTGTCAGAATTGGAAGGCTGAGGACTGTAAATTTTCACTTGTTAAATAGCTAGCTTAACCAGTTGCAAGTGAATAGGCTGAAAGGTTAAAGGCAGTGGTTCACTGAACTCCATAGGAGACTGTATGGGGCAAATTTCCAGTGTTACTGAGCTGTCTAGCTGACCTCTTCATATATTTTTTTTTTCCTCTTCTTTTAGCAGAGGGAGTGTGTTTTCCATTCATGCACAGTCACTGGCTGAAGAAGCCCTACGCTCTTTGCTCATCACAAAGCAGAAACAGCAGTAACACAACCTCCTTACCTGTTTCACACATCAGGACAAAGTTGTATGTGAAGAGGTGTAATGTTTTTTCTGACTCTTAGTGCCTTAGTGGTAATGAAAATGCCTTGTTCCATTAGTTGATGCTGGAAATAGGAGCTCCTCTTAAAATACTGGTTATTGAATAAAATACAATGTATTTTAAAATACTGTCTATTTCAATATGATAACAATATATCATACAGCAGTATTCTCACTGTTGAGTGTTCTGCTGGAAGATAACACACATGACTGACATTGAACCTCGTAAGTGGAAGCTATGCTTGGCTGGGAATGATGTCCAGTGTCTGTCAAAAGGAACCACAACAGAGGCAACTTTGCCTTACCTCCTTAGACAGAGGACTTGGCAGGTCTCCTGTGCTAAACAGGGTAAATCTGATCTGTACGTTAATGGCAGATCTCCAATGAAAAGTTGAGGAAGTGCTATTGCTAATTCAGTGCAAGGCACTCTTTCTAGTAAGTCTGCTTGGACTTGTGACCCCAGCCTGTTCCCAGGAGCTGTTGAGCAAGGAGAGGCAGTTGTTTTTCAAGCGTGGCAACCTAGCAGACCAAAGGGAGGTACTCTAACCTTCTTGTTGGTGATTTGTAATACATGGCATCATTAAGATCAGAACTAGCGTTATATTCAGTGCACACATGTATGAAGCAATGTGTGAGACTCAGCTGATTCTGTCCATGCACAAATGTGTTTACTTGCCAGAAAGTCACACAGCTGTTCCACTCCAGATCTCCTTTGCCTGTATGTCCTCTTCATATCACACTCAGGGTTAACCATTCCCCCAGACGCCTATTTGCAACTCTCTCAATATGTTGAGCCATTTGAAATGATAGCAGAATGGAGTGTAAACATGTCTTTCAGGTTAGTGAAGGAGACTTTGGGGAAAAGTTAACATGTTCTTTAGATGTGACACTGGAATCATGCGATGAAGAACATTCAGGGCTTCAAGTTGAATATCTGCAGGATTGGGGACTGCTGAAAACATAGGGCCTTGTTTGAATGGCACTATTCACTGCCACAGTATTCAGGACCAAAGTTTTACTCTGGGAAAAATAAAAAACTTAGCACTTTCCAGTAAGGGCATGTGATTGAAGTTGTGAAGATAGATGTATGTACTCAGAGGACTTCTCTAAATCTGAGTGCTTTAGCTTTTTTCTTCGGAACTGGAGCTGAGTAAGGGCCAGCTTTTTACCTTTTATTAGTAACTTGTAGTTTGTTGGAGCCAGTCAGAGTTTGGAGCACTCTGCACACCTGCAGAGTAAGATTTAAACTATATTATGGTAGGTGCACAGAGATGAATATTGGTTGGTTGATAATGCGAGTACCTATACCTGATGGAATAATTTTGCAGTAAATGAGGCTGCAGAAGTGTGATGGAATTTGATGCCACATTTAGTGCTTAGCTAACAGCCTCTTGGCTTGTACTTATGGGAGAATCAAATCTCTATGTTGGCTCTGCAGACTTGCAAAGATGAAGAATAATTTTCAGTTAATTCCAAAATAAGCATTCTGTACATGCATATGGCTTCATCTCAGAGAAAGTGTGCTTATTCAAGATAGTATTTAAACACATATTTAAGCAAATGTTTAACTATCAGTGAAGTCATGGAACTAAGAATACACTTAATTCCCATCCTCAAAGCAAGCCAAAGAGGAACATTTACTTGGGTAAGACTCTGCATATTTAAACTGATTTTTTTAAACAGTATAACAGGGTGTCTAGGATATTGTTCATATTGAATAGTTATTGCAGGACACATCTGAAATTGAAATCTAAGTTCAGAAGCGTATCTGGAGTTAAGCATAAAGGGTGAAGAATACTTTCGGTAATACAGCTAACAGTGCTGTGGAGTTCCTGGTTAAAGAAGAGGCCAAAAAATCTGAAAGATAAAAAAAATGCAGTTGCATTATTCTTGTTCATTTTTCTTTTGATTTTTGAAGCCTTTAGTTTCCTTTGAAGGAGTGCAATAAGAAATATGCTGTGCTTAGGTCTTTTTTTTTTTTTTTTTCTTTCAAAAAAGACCCTTAAGCACGGTAGCTTTTCTTTAAAATGTGGTGCATAAATAATAAAATACGTGATGGCACAGTACAAAGATTATCTGGCACAGGTCTGGGATGACTGATCTGCTTATAGAGCTTTTGACACTTGTGAATAATGTGATCATTGCAAAAGTGTGCCAATGAAAACTTCATACCCCACCAATACGTGTGTGTGTTTGTAAGTTTGTTAGTGTATTCTATTTTGGCACATTTTCTAGTACCAGATCGAGGAACAGCTTCAGTGTTGTGCCATGTTGTTGGTGTATCTTGTGCCTGGTTGCCAGAGTAGCCTCTATGGGTAAGTGAAGCCATAGGTTTTGTGACATGGTGAAAACAGTGTTAAGGAGGACAGGTTTCACATTCCGTTCCTTATCCCTCCTGACTCCTGGCTGCCTACTGCTTTCGATTGCCTTGAAACAATTTTTATGTTCAACTTATCACAAGGATGAACTCACTAAAATGGAAGTACTCTGGCAAGAAGAAATGAAAAAGTGACTTTTCTTTGTTGTTTTTACTAAATGTTTAAATAAATTTTCTTCTTTATTATTAAATTGAATCATCTTACCTTATAATCAGATGAACAGGACAGCCATCAGTGGCTGCAAGAGGTTGTATGTGCCAGGTTCTTTCCTGCGTGCTTTTGTGTGCTCATAGGTGCACGCAGAAGCTCTGGGGCGTGATGCATTTCTTGTGTGTTTGCCAACTGTTGTTGGCAGTATTACAAGTTGTACCTTAAGAACCTCAGCCTAGATGCAAGACCAAACAAGGCTGTTATCTTCCATGTCTGTGTTCACTGCAGTGGTCATAATGCCCACTCCCAAAAGGTGCACCCTATGGTTAAACTGGTCAGGATGGTGATAGCCAGCTGAAGTTTGTCCAGAGCTTGGAATCAGTAGCAGAAGAGCATGAGGGGCATCACTGTGGAGCTCTGAAGGTCTTGAACTCCTGTTGAGTAGGTGAAGATTTGACTTACAAACTTTTCAGTTTAGTCCTGTTGATGCAGTCCATAAAGCTCTCAGGCACCATTGTGCCTGTTGGCAAGCACAGAGTTGGATGGGCTGATGGGAGCTGGGAGGAAGAGTTGTGGTCTTGGTAAAGGTCGCAGACTCCATCACATTGTTGGTAGCTCATGTCTTGCTGCCTGAAGAAGATGCAGTGCCCCACAGCAGCACCACTGCAGTTACAACTCAGTGATCTGATATAGCTTATATGGGATCTTGAAATAGAAAAGGAAAACGGGGAGTGTGTCATATCATACTACTGAAAGTGTTGAAAAGCAGGAGGAAGCCATGATCAGAGGGAGAGAGGAACAGTGGAAGGAAGAGCAGAGAAATTCCTCTTCCTTTTATCAATGGCAATAATTTATTCCAGTAACATCATGAAACTGTATCCACGGAGTACCTTGTAGGATTCCTTTCTCCCTTCCTCCCATGTCAAATACAGCTGAAGACAGGCCATTAATTTCAAAGAGAATTTGGAGTGGCGTCTGTTCTCAGTGCAAGTAGGATCATTTTGGTTATTAAAAAAATTTAAAAAGTAATTTCTGAAGTTTTTGTCAATCTGCAAAGTGGAGACCAATTGTAATTGCAGAAAGTGCAGGTGCTTAGAGATCCAAAGCATTAGGAGATAATTGTGTTTGTACCTATGCTCTTCTCTCTGTGGTGTTTGCAGTGTTTGCCTTAATGTTTTCTGTTACTAGAAAAAAGTATGTGTACAAAGGTGCAGGAAACTGTTCATCTCTTGCAATCAAAACCATTGCTCGTGCTGTCAGAGGAGAGCATGTGTGTGTAATACAGTCTGTTGTTTATCAGAATCTTGTGATCCTGAAAAACACTGAAGAATCCTCTTGTGTAGAGATAGTCCTGTGACATTTGCTTCTCTTGTGCTTCAGACCAGAGGAGTTGTATCCCAATAGCACCTTTCTCCATGGCACTGTTTCAGCCAAAGGAAGGAAGTGTATAAGTTGTGTGGAAATAACTAGGAAAATAGATTTCCTGTTTACCTATGAAGAAAATTATGATTTTTGTAATGACTGTCAAATTGTTCGTTGAAGAATGAAGCTCCTCAGAACAGTAATTTCATTTTAGGTGGCTGTATGTATCACCACACTGTTGTTTAGTATTTCATCTTTTTAACAGTATCCCTTTTCCTACACTTCTTGCAACTATCTCTTTCAGTTTCTGCAGGTAGTTCAAAATTTTCTAAGTGTTGAATTTGTTCACGGTCAGAGTAAAGGGTTGTCTGGATGCTTTGCCTGGAGGATTCCACTCCTTGCCTGGGCTGCCTTCTGCCTTCCAGTAGCTGTAAAAATTCACTTCCCTTCCCCCTCTGCCTGTCTGTTTGCAGGTTATCTTGACGAATCAGATTACCACATCGTTGAGCAATGGCCTTGCCATCCAGGCAGACCTGGTGTCTCCAGCTGATGATTTGTCCCTGTCTGAAGGTAAGAGATCCCTTCTATCAGAACTGAAACTCTACACTGACACAAATCCACATTGTAACTTGCAGTCTTCTGTTGATATACAGGGGTCTCCGAGAGTCAGGTTATCAAGTCTAACATAAAATAGTCTGGGAACAAAATTATTTTTCAGTTTCTCTGCAAATCCTTTTATAAATTAAAAGAAAATAAGTGTATTAACTAAAAGGATCTGACACTTTCTAAGGGATGGGAATAAATTTTTGAGCCATGTCAGTTCTGTAACTTGTTCCTCAGCATTGTACTTTTATTCACATGCATTTAGAGCATTATTTTCTCAGTCTTCTGAAGCTGCTGCTAGAGTTAATACACAGGCTAGGCTATAAATTTGGTCTTATCTAATGATTATCAGTCATTCCAAAGAGAAACTGCTGGTTGCAAATGAAGGAGAGCAAATACTCAGTCTTTGTCCCTTGCATTATGCTTGTCTGGTTTTCAAGTACAGTGCCTCAAACTGCAGTGCTCAATATTCTGTGAATGTAATATGAGGTTTTATATGATGCCATATACTACTTTACATCTTCATCTTTCTTTTTTCTGCACAGAATTAGAGACAAGCACACATTTTGGGGGTAATAGTGAGGACTTTACTGTGTTAAGAAGAGGAGATAATTCTGAATCAAGGTTTGCAAAGTAATATAATTTCAGCTTTCCCCACTTGCAAAGAAGAGTCAGAGTACCCTCAGTCAGGGACAGATGCAAAGAGGTTTACTATTTATAGTTTAGTTTGTGCATAGACCCAAATGTATGTTGTAAAGCAATGCTTGTCTTTCCAGCAAATGCATGAAAATTGCATGTAGACTTTCTCCTTTGTATAATATGGGTATTTCCCCTCTTTCTTGCCTTGTTGCACTTTCTGGTAGTTATGGTCAGCTTATCTTTGTTCTGGTTGATCGCAAGCAGCCCTCTCAGGCTTGTCTGACAATACAAGAACAGCTTGGTGGCAAAAACAACTAAGCAGTGGTTAAAACTGACATTATTTCTGCAACTCATTTCAATGCACAAGAGAAAGAAGTTGAAGATAGATTAAATCGGATGTCAGAGAGTAGCAAATAACTTTGCTGTAATGCCTTAACACTGATTGATGTGTTTACTTCATAATTTTGTCAATAGGAACTGGGGCAAAGCGCAGCCCATTAAGTAATTTTGGAATTGTGCTTGTGGCTTTTGTTGGCTCCGTCCATTGCCAAAGTATCTCTGAAGTTTGTTGCTTGAATATCGCTCCCTACCTCTGTCAGAAAGAGTTGAAATTTGGTAACTAGATTTGGAAGTGAAAGGCATCATTTTTCATCTTTATGATTTCCTTCTTGGCACGAAGTTGTTGCACATTGTCTCATTAAATGCTCTTGATCACAGTACTTGTGTTTTTCTTCGTCTGTTAGAATTGCTCTGTATGACCTTCCTCTGAAAAGAAAGGCATAGCTGACTATGAAGTAGAAGTAATAATAAAATATGTTCTCAGTATATTTTTTTCTTGTGTTTAAAATATTTGAAAAGTCTTTGAAATGTGGAATAGTTGTAATCTTGCTAAATTTTCCTGCAAATACAGAAGATTCTCAGTGCTGTGTATGAGCCATAGTTCAACAATAATCTGAAATCAGGACTATGTAAGAGATGGTATGATGATTTTTGTAGCAGTAACAGCTTATTAATGGAGCTATCATGTTGTGTCTAAACTCTCTGCCACCATTATTTTTCACCTTTTAACCCAAGAATGAGTTAAAATGTGTTGGTGCTCAGTGTGCGTGTTGTTTTCCTTTGTTTCTCTCATTCCTTGATTTTAATTAAGGGCCTGAAGTGGCAAAATGTGCCAGCATGACACTTGTTGAAAATGGAAACCTTTGTTTAGCCTCAGAACAAGAACAGTACATACAGCAGCAGTGCAGGCTCCTTTGGTAATTCAAGTTTTATCAAGGGATGCAGGGGTGATAAAGTTCTTTCCTTCTCTCCCTTCCCTCTTCTGTTGACTAACATTGACACGACATTGACATGCTGTGTTGTATAATGGGAGAGCACAGTGCGTTTCCGCACTACGTGGTTTTGACCTTCTGTTTTTCTTATCCATAATATGGCTGCTTCTGTATTTCCAGTTTGCTTCAGTTTTAACCTGTGCTGTCTACCTGTGAGAAAAAGTTCCAGGAGTTCCAGGCCCATTCAGCATTTGATTTCCATGTTTATCTTGCTATCAAAAGATACAGATGTGGCCGGTGCTTGGGATTTTTGTAACATCGAGGTGTTGACCTGTCCTGAGAAAGTTCCCTGCTGATTTATTTCATGTTAGCTATCAAATAGCCTGAAAGTATCAATTCTTTCATCTTCTGACAATCTTGGGTACTTTAAGAATCCATAATAAATTCGTCTTCTAGAATTAGTGTGATATTCATAATACTTACTGCTATTTTATAGCTGTAGAATTTGCAGAAAAGGGTAGTTAGATGAGAAGCCCAAGCACACAAAGTGGATATGTTGCAGAGGCAGGAACAGAGGGCAGATTCATGACTGGGTTCTTACCTCATTCTTCCTTTTCACTCATCACCAACGAAAGCTGAATTTGAACCAGTGACCTAGATGTGAAAGGACCCATAACACATTATTAGTCCCGTAAGCAACCCAGACCCCTTGGTTTGTGTATGTCTAATATGTTGTTTTAATCGAATCTGAAATCAGAGTCCCGTCACTGTAAATGGTTTGCTAAAAGGGTAATCTTTCTTAGACAGAAATAAAAATTTCAAACTGAATGTGATATTAGAAAGAAATTGAATGTTACAGTGGCTTTTGTTTTTGCTTCTGGTTGTGCTTTGGAAGAGAATTGCTTGGGTTATGTGTTAGATTAGGCAAGAAACCAAGGAAGCTGTTCATCTGATGTGTGACAGAAAGTTAATCTGATGAACAAGCTGAAAGGACATTGTCAAGCTGTTTCAGGCTCAAAGCTCGTCTTCTGCAAAACTGTAATCTAGTGCATGAAAACTTGTGTCCTAAGAATATGTTAGATTTTTATGAGAACATTAAAGGCTTTATAAAGGCAGCGCTGGCTGTAAAATCCCATAACTTATGTAGCAATGTAAGAATTCTTGAACTGTTTGTTGATATTTCTTGTAGGAAATGGTTATGTCGAGATAAATTCCCAGTTCTGTACATATATCTGCTTCAAGATATTAAAAAAAAAAAAAAAATTAGTTTGCTACAAATTAAAGTGCTGAATGAAATATAAAAGTTTCTCTACCTGTAGACTGCATCTCTGCATTCATTTGGCCTTTACATACTTGTCAGATTATCATCTGAACGAGTTAATTAAGACTAATAATGTTTTTCTGCAGCTCTAAAATTCTCAGGCACCTAAGGCTGTCACTTGTCCCCTAGGAACCAAACTCAGTTTTTACTTGCAGCTGCACCATTCTTAGCCATCTTGCAAACCCTGTCATTGGATGGGACCGGCTGGAGGATGATGTGAATACTGCTGTTTCACTTTCATCCTTGCTTATGGACTAGCCTCTGTTTATCTCTTCCAGTCAAAGCCAACTTTGAGAAGCCTCGAAGTTATTTTACATTGCAGAGATGGTCAGACAAGCCCAGGATTATCTTTAGGCTTGAACATGTGACCTAGAGAAGTAATGTTTTATTATTTAAACATGTAAAAAGTAGCTCTTACCCCAATTAAAAGAATTTATTTAATAATTTAAAAAAAATGTATATTTAAGCTGCATTAGGCTAAATGAACAGCAGAAATGGAGTGCAAATGTCCTGAACAAAAGACTTTGTATGAATGTTTTTAAGCAAGTCACCTGTGGCTGTGACTGCACTATATTTGTTATTTTTGCAAAGTTCACATGACTGGATTTTACCTAATGTAGGGAGTTGTTAGAAATTAATTCTAAGCCCATATGTTTGAGCACTAGCTGGATGGTGAAATTTGTGTGTTGCATTTATGTGCTGTGAAGAGATAGAGCAGTATGACCTATTTGAGGTCCCTTCTAGTCCACCAGTCCCTATCCTATTAATATATCTTCCAGCTGCAAGCTCTAACTTCCTCTGGCAGACAACAAAGCCAAACTCCATCTTTCTTGGAAAAAGCTCAGGGGCGTGTTGGTATGAACAAGAACAGCATCCCCCTCCCAGCATGCACAAAGCATCAAGCAAAAAAAGGAATGCTGTCTTGGGCTTCTTCAGTCTCAGCTAGCACTTTCAAATATTTGTTTGGGAAAGTCAGAATTATTTTGTGTTTAAAATTGTCTGTAAACTTGCGCTAGCTCTGGGGAGGCCAGCGTTCAATCTTCTGCCATTTGTGTTCATCAAGTAGTTTGTCATAGCATTGTATATTTTTAGTGCATGGTGTGAGCAATGAGCTTAGTCTGACCTTTTCATCTTTGTTGCTGTGATCTTGAATTCTTTTAAGCTGTTGAGCAGGAGTAGGCTTTAGTGTTGTGGAGACTGGAGAAAACTAAGCTACCATAATATCTCCCACACACATGATTTTCCTACTTTAGTTTAGGGGCAGAAAATTTGAAGCTGGAATCTTTGGCTTATCTTCTTTGCTTTGCTGTTGATCTCCTGTCAGATTGTGGTTAAATCATTCTTCAAGCCTCAGTTTACCCTTTTTTTAATATGGGGATATATTTTTATTTTGCATCTTTCTTTTTTCTTTCTTAATATTTCATGATATTCCTATGCGGAAAATAATGAGTTGACCTGCTGTTCACCCCAGAGTAAGACTGGTTCTGTAGTTTATGCTTCTCTCCCTTCGACCCCCTTTTTTCAATCCTGGTGCCAAATGGAGAGAAAACACTGAAGGAATTACCAAGAGAACCAAGGGGCCCCCTGAGATCAGATGTTGTTGGTTGGGTTTGGTTGGTTTATTTATTGATTTATGTATACACTCATGCGTAAGGTTGGAACTGCAGGTGACTTAATAAAAAAGAATATTCTGTGAGAACACAAACATCACTGTTTTGCAGGAACTGTGAATTTAT